AAATGCTTTGGCAGATGCCACAGCCAAGGAAGTGGCACAAAAACCAGTGGGACCACTCAAGGCACTCTTGCCTTTCCTGCCACCCAGAGTGCTGGATCAGCCCACTTACTCTGATACAGATCTTTTGTTGGCTAAAAGCTTATAAACCACACTAACACAGGATGGCTGACAAATGCTTCCGGACAGCAGGATTCTCCTTCCTGAGGCACTAGGCTGAAAGCTCATTCAGCAGATACACCAAGGGACTCACTTGGGAGGAAATAAATTGGCTAAATTGTTGCGAAAATCCTACTTCATACCCAAACTGAATCAAATGACTAAGAAAATCAGCCAACGGTGTCTCCACTGTGTCCAGGTAAACCCCAGGAAGATCACTTCTAAACCTGGACAGTGCGCTAGAGGTATGTCTTCTGGGGAACACTGGGAAATTGATTTCACTGAAATGGGTCCAGAAAAAGGAGGATATCGCTACCTCCTTGTTTTAGTAGATACCTTTACTGGATGGGCAGAGGCCTATGCCACCCGATCAGAGTCAGTTCTGATAGTGACAAAGAAGTTATTGAGCGAGATTATTCCCAGATTTGGCCTGCCCATTACTATGGGGGTCCGACAATGGTCCGGCTTTTATAGCCAGGTTACCAAAAGTCTGTCCCAGGCCCTAAAATTAAAATGAAAGCTACATTGTGCATATAGGCCTCAGAGTTCAGGTCAGATAAAAAAAATAAATCATACTCTAAAAGAAACCATTTCAAAACTAGGGTTGGAGACTAGCAAAAACTGGGTGAGTCTCCTTCCTTTTGCTTTATTATGAGCCTGCTGTACTCCCTATGTAACACGGGATCACTCCCTTTGAATCTATGTATGGTTGGCCACCTCCCTTAATCCCCAAACTGGGGGAGGAAATCTTGACATCCATTTCTAATCAGGAACTTGTTAAGTCCTTACAGGCTCTGCAGTCTACAGTTACACACTCCCTCTTCCGCCATCAACATTTAAGACCAGAACAACTTTGACAGTCCACTGGCTGCAGAACCTGGCTCTCTGGTGTGGATAAAAAAGCGGGATCCATCCACATTGGGACCTTGCTGGGTAGGACCTTATCCTGTCATCCTGAGCATGCCCACCTCAGTCAAAATAGCTGAAAAGAGACACTAGATTCATCACACCCACATTAAGCCGGCTGCAGTACACGACAACTCCACAAGATGGTCAATCAAAAAGATGCCCGATCCACTCAAGTTCAAGTTAGTAGGCCAGGATACAGGTCTGGCCTAACTTTCTTCTCAGTTGTTCTTATGCATTATGTAATCTCTGAATTTCATGTGCTGTTAGCCATACCTGCTGTGTCTATAATTAATTCCCATGATAACATGTGGGTAAAGATGGCAAACACTCTTAATTTGTCAACTTTCTGCTTGGAACAAACCTTAAATCTTCAATATGTTCTGGGTTCATGCCTAAGACCAGTGTGCAAGCCTGCAAAAGATATTAGAAATTTAACCTTTTTAAAACACATTTCTAAACCTGCCCCATATTATGACTTGGCTAACTGGGGACCTGTCTCATGTGATGTACCACCTGGTACCCTGCATTTTGTTACCCCAAAGACTGTAGTTACTTTCAATGAAACTTGTGTGCAATTTGTAAGCTGTACTAAAAAAAGTTGTCATCGATTGTCAGGGTTTCTAAATTGTTCTAGTCTTATAAAATATCCATATATAACTGGTAATATCTTATTACCCACTGGATGGTTTTTCACATGCAATGGACATACTTTTAACTATATCCCAGCTTATCTGGATAGTCTCCTGTTGTTTAAGCAGGCTGACTGTAATTCTTCCGTCTCAAGATGATTTGATGCTACACCATTCAAAAACATCATCACCCTGCAAGAGAAGTTTCTAACATCCCTCTCCCTCCTGACTGTAACGATAAAGTCACTTTCCTGTCTGATGCAGAAGCCTATGCTATGATAATCAGTGTCATTGAAAACCTATACTTTGGTGAAATAACAAAAAAACACGTAAAACAATTGGGTTGTAATGTGGCCAAAGCTCTTAATGCCACTTCAACGGCCATCGCCCTACTCAATGGAGAACAAAAGGAACATAGACAAGCTATATTAGACAACTGGGCTGCCATAGATTATTTACTATTGTTTCACCATCAAGTATGTGAAAAAATAAGAAACATGTGCTGTTTTATTTTTATTTATTTTTTTTTGTTGTTGCTGTTTTTATTTTTTTGCAGAACCGGGGATTGGACTCAGGCCCTTGCACTTGGAAGGCAAGCACTTATGCTACTGAGCCACCTCCCTGGCCCTGTTTTTTTGAGACAGTGTCTCACTATGTAATTCAGTGTATCTTTGAACTCATGGCAATCCTGCCTCAGCTTCCTGAGTGTTAGAACTACAAGTGTGCCACTACATCCACCATTGGTTTTTCTTTCTTTCTTTCTTTATTTGTGTGTGTGGCCAGCTCAGCCCACCAGGAGGCAGGGCTGGCTGGCATGTGGTGCTGGGGGATTGAACCGCGGTCCCTCTGCTTTGTTAAGCTTGTTCTAAGTAGGTGCTTTAGACCACTGAGCCATCTCACCAGCCCACATGTGCTGTTTTAGCCTATCAGATAACAGCCATCAGATACAGAATCAAGTAAACATACTAAAAGAGGTAGCTCAAGATATCCGTCAAAGAAATAACGGGGGGTTGTTTTCAATATCCCCTTGGATAAATAATCTGATAACTGCTCTGATTGGGCCCATGATCATATTTCTTCTGGTCCTGCTCATTGGACCTTGTATAATAAACTATTTGACTACGTATATACAACAAAGAATCCGGACGATTAAGTTAATGGTGTTGAGATCTAACAACGAGCCTCTCACACCCCTAGGCAACTCAAGTTATGAGGTTTAGATGAATCAAAGATTCCCAGATAAAAACCAGTGGGGAATGTAAAGGGTTAACAGAGTTTTGTGCCTTAACTGTGGGAAATTATAAAAACCCCTTGTGCTTCCTGTTTTCTGCTCTAAGAAATGTATTCGCCCTTTCAGCTCAAGGCTGTTCAACAATAAAATAACTGTTTCTTGTTAAGGCAGCAAGCGAACACAAACTCCCTCCCCAACCATCTCCTGTAACATAGTCAGCTTAAGATATATCTTGTAAAAATATGCACTTACCCCTAAGCTGTGAAAGACCTTTTAGTTATAAACAGTTTGCAGCTGTGTCAAATGAATGCAGTTTCTGTTGTTCTGTACTAGATAACAAGTTTGCTTACCAAACTGGACTGGATGTGATTTCTGTTATAAATACCCACTTGCTACCTACGTTTGGGGCCAATATGCCTTCTCCTGCGAGAGAAGTGGCTGACGGACCTGAGCTCAGTAAATAAAAGGCTCTATTCAAATTTCTATTTGGCTGATCTGGTTCCTACGCAGAGTTGACCCATAACACTATGTCTTCTTCAATCAGGAGTTTGGTTTGAATACGCAAAGCCAGCTTTATTCTAAAAAATATGTTCTTGTATATACATAAAACTATGAACAAATACCAAAATGAGGTTTCACTGGGGAAGAGAATCAGGGATTGCAATGACAGGGTCACTTTTTAATAACTCTACTCCTGTAATGTCTGCATCTTTTTCAAAAAAACCATGTACACATATTACTTTAGAGAAAACAAAAAATGATCAAAAAATTGCTAGATACCTCAAAAAGCAGCATTTTCCTGAGGAACCTCCTAACACAGTATAAAAGCATTGTAAAGACTTCTAACACCAAGTGTAGTGTGGTCCTATAAAACTTCTGCTGTAAAACGTCCCGCTGTGTAGCAAGCACATCTTTACTTGTCATCTTTCCCTTTTGTCTTTCTGTATACCATCTCTCGCAAACTGGCTAGAATCTTATTCTCTCTGTTTCGTCTCTCTTCCTGGTTAAAGGATGCAAGGGCTCTCTTCTCGTCAGCACTGTAAATCTGGTTTTCTTTCCGTAGCCGTACAGCCTCCATTCTGCGATGTCTGCTACCACTCATGACATAGCCTGAGCATTCAAATGAGGCGATTTCTTCACTTGTCAATCCAATTTCACCTCTTCGTGGGATTCGCTTTCCAGCTTTTACGTACTCTGCCATAGCAGCACCTTCTCCTGGTAGCAGAGCATGGCCATAACTTAAAGGCTTCTCATCCTGACAGGTATATATTATGGGTGCTTCGGGACCAATTAATAAACCCATGGTATCTGAAATCTTTGACTGTTCAACCCAGGTATTTTCTGGAAGCTGCTCTTTTGAAATTTTACAGCTTGTGTCACTCAGACGTTTCATTCTCTTATTCTTTTTCTTGGATTTTGTTTTGTGTTTCTTTCTCTTCTCTTTCTTTTTGTCTTTTTTGACTCTCTTTTTACCACCAGTAGAGCTAGAATTACTATCAGACTCTGAATAATTGTCATTATCAGAATACTTTCTATGCTTTCTTTTAGAGGACTTTTTCTTTCCTTTTTTCTTTTTTGAACTGGTCCTCTTCCTCTTACCGTCCGAGTTGGACTCTGAGCCACTGCTCTTCTCATTCTTTACCTCATCTTCAACTGGAGTTTGTTCATCGGAATCCGGCTCAGGCGACTTCGGCGACAGCCCCCACACCTCGCGAGCTCCCAGCTCTCCGATCCTCTCCCTCTCCTTCACCCTCCGCTGCCGACAGCTCTCCTCCTTCTCTTTCTCATAGTCTTCTGCCCACTGCCAGTCGCTGGCATGGCGGTGGTGGTAGCGGTACCCACCCCCGCAGTAGACAGCGCAGGAGGATGAGGGGCTGCGGCTGCGCGGCCGCGGGACCCTCTCGCGGGGCCCCAAGCGCCCAGACGGGTGACGAGAGCGGCCGTCCGCGCCCCCCCATGGAGGCCGCGGGCCCTCGGGGCCGGGAAAGCGAGGAGGAGGAGGAGGGCTTCGGGTCCACGCGGGCGGCGGGGTCCCCGAGGAGCTGCGCCACCGTCGCCAAGAGCCCAGGGTGCCCTTGGGGGACCGGGACCCGGAGAGCCGATCCATGAGCCCCTCCGCAGTGGCCGAAGCGGGTAGGCCGCCGCGGTAGGCAGCGGCGCGCGGGTACACGAGGCCCAGCGCCCGCGCAGGCGCGTGGGGACGCGTGCGCGCGGCTTCCGCTTCCGCTTCCGCTTCCCTCGCGCGCGCTGCGCAGCTGGAGGGACCCTGCGGCGCCTCCGCGGGAGCCTCCTTCGGGCAAGCTGCGCGGTAGCTTCCAAGGACGAGCGCGCGCGCCGGTTTTCAGGAACGACAGTCTGCAGGCTGAGCTGAATGGAGGAATCCGAGTTTGCCTGCGAGGGTTCAGGGCTGCTGAAACGCTCAGGAGCTGCTTGGATTTCTGCCTGTCTTGGTCGCCGCTCACGCTGCGTCCTCCGTTCTCGCTGCTGCCTTACCGTTTCTCCTGCGCTGGATCTCTATTGTCGCCGCCCCACTGTTTTTCCCTTTAAAAGCTGTGGCCATTTCACAATAAAAACACTATAGGGGCCAGGGAGATGGCTCAGTGGAATAAGCACTTCCCTGGCAAGCGCGACGGCCTGAATTCAATCCCCGGTTCTGCAAACAAACAAACAAAAAACGTATAGTGACTTTCTAACCTTGCTTGTGTCTACTAGAAGCAAGTACCAGAATTTCTTTTGCAATCAAAATGTGCTCAGCCTCAACCAAATGAAGACCAGACGTATCATTTTAAGTCTTAAATTCAGGGATGTTTCCATTCGAGAAACAAACATCACACTCAGGCACATAGATGTCTCCTCATTCAGGGACATTTAGAAACTTAGAAGTTTGAAATCACCCTCTGAAAACATCTCAGATCTCATTTTCTATGATGGCAAATATTTAATGTAAAATCATTTCCCTGATCTCAAACGGACAAAAAAAAATGCACTTTTGTCCTCTTGCTAAATTGACCCACTTAAAGAATAATCTTTCCTACTCTAAAACTAAACAATTAGAAGGGGAAATGAAATTGAATGATAGCAAAATATGTCATTTGATCTAAATGAAATTTTAATAATGTGAATGAAGAGGATAAGGCTTAGTGCCCTGTCATACACATCATGTAAGTTTTCTTGTATATTCTTCCATTATACAAATATGTTAACTATACAGCGATTTTTAATGCTTTTGTGAGTTTGATTGAGATACTGATTGTAGCAAGAAGTAACTTGACCCAAAATCATTTGTTGTTGTTTGTTGTATTTTGTACAGTATCTACAGGGTCTCACTACACATATCAGACTTGTGATTCTCCTGTTTTCAGCCTCCAAATGCTGGGATTACAGGCGCACACCATGCCCAGTCTCAGTGCGCACCGGGGACTGACCGACACTTCACACAGGTATCCAATCCTGTCCCTGCACCTGCCTACAGGGGCATCTGCTGAACTTTCTGGCTGGCCCTCCAAGACTTTTTTACACATTTTTAAAGTTAAAAGTATTTGTCATAATTATAAACAAAATTAACCTGTGTTAAAACATACTTCTGGGAACTCAATGTGTCTTTTATGCTCCCCCAATCTTTTCACCACAGATGCCAGCATACATTCACAGCATAATTCAAAAGGGCACATTTTAGAATATTCAAGAAAACTGTTAACAGCTTTTAAAATTTCAGCTTTTTGGTAAGAAATAATAGTACATACAATGAAAGTATTGATGAAAGTGTTATAGTTTCCGTAAAATATAGAGTAATCTCTAAGTCCAAATCAATCATGGCAGATCAGTGTTGTTAGATTTTTGTTTAATATTTGTTTTAACGTTTAGAACTCAGATAAACATTTAATATTTGTCAACATGGTTTTGCAAAAGTTAAAGTACTAAGTTTTGTTCACATGTTCGTGTACCTTTTCAAATCACTACAAGAAATTACTTGTCATACATTAAAATTTTCCTTAAACACCAAAAAAGAAAGACAACAACTTGGACGAGCAATTCTGTCAAGGAACCACAGTGTGCTACTGGTGTTCTGTAGCTTAATCTATGCAACCCATTGTGCCGGCAGAGGACAAAAGCCGCCCTAATCTTTTAACCACAGATGCCAGCATACATTCCGGGCCTCTTGCTTCTTGCTGAAGAGGCCCTTTAGGGGCTGAACCACTGAAATCAGCTGGCCCGGTCCCGCTGGACGCTAGCTGGGGACGGGGCAGGAGGGCTGCAGAGTTCCTCAAGCTGGGAGCGACGCAGGCCTGGCTGCTGAGACCGGCTTGGAAACGGCCCCGGGCTGGGGGGTGTCCTCCGGTCGCTTTCTCAGCGGCCTGGCCGGCAGATCACAGCCCAGCGTGTGGCGCCTTGCCCTAGGAGGACCCCCACTCGGGCTGCAAGCTTTCTTCTGGAAGTCTGGCCCGACGTGAGGCAGC